TTCGGGTGCCGCTTCGAGGCAAGTACCGTAGGAGTGGAAAGGCGGCTCCGCATTCCTGTGTGCTCATCCTTGCGTGCCCCTCGGCAGGAACTGCCGTGACGAGCCTGCGAGGGCAAAACGCCGCCGCGTATTCAATTTCGGGACACTTTGGAGAAGCGGGCGAAGAGGAGTGGGATGCAATATATCCCAACCGCATGAGACACGTTCGACATGGAAGAACTTTCGGCCTGCCCGCCTGCCGGAAAGGCGGCTTCGCACTTGGCGCTTCGACCCCCCTAGTGGTTTAGTGTCGAGCACAAAGTGTGTGATGGTGTTCAAGCTGTCCTCCGTACTCCGCTGTGCAACGTTGAGAAGTCTGATTCGTATAACAACGATGCTCGTCACTAGGAAAGCCTTTCTCTGGGCTGAAGCCTGAAGGCTTGACGGATCTGCAGCAAAACGAGCTCGCTGTTGCGAGGCAGGACTGGGTTCTGTAGTGCCCCTGTCTTCTAGTTTTATACTGGTAGCGGGGCCTGTGTGCTCCAGTAGGATCTTGTCGTACATGTCGGCCGATGCAGTGGAACCTCCTCCGGGCTTTGATCCAGCTGACCAAGCTGATGCTGGTCTTCAAGCGGCACTTGAGACGATGCCACCCCCGCCAAGCTTCAGCGGAGGCAATGAGTGACCGCCCGACCGGCGGCTCCGATGACGGATCCAACAATGCGCAGCGAGGAGGGTGATCACGGTGCTGGGGAGCGTCGTGACTTGGATGGAGCCACTCAGTCAGAGTGGCAACAATCGCGAGGCGCAGCTCCGGCCAGGGGAGATGGCTGGCAGCGCCACGATGATGTGACGGCAGGCTTCGACAGGAGAGCGAGCTGGAGTACTGGAGTACAACGACCGCTACGGCTTTGACAGCTACTTCGTGGGCACATCCCGCCCCCCAGCCGGATCCTTGGACCTGCGGCAGAGAGCAGCTGCGATGGTCAATGGAGCAGTGGCCGTAGCTTGACGCTGGCAGCAACGACAATTGACGGCAGCGATATGAGCGGTGGTGCCCCTGGGACTGACAGCAGAGACCGTGGTCAATGGGGCCCGGATGTTCGCATCTTCCGCGGAGCTGCTTGGACAAACGATTCCGTGGACACGATCAGAATGGTCCTCGTGGAGCTCCCTGGGCAGATGGCCGCGGAGCTCCCTGGGCAGATGGGCGAGACTTAAGATTCCCTGGACACGATCAGAGTGGTCCTCGTAAAACTCCCTGGGCAGATGGTCGTCACAGGTTACGCGATTCACCGGGGTCGCAACACTGGGGTGATGCATGTGTAACCAGTCATGACGACCGAGGTTATGACCTGCGTGGGGCAACATGACGCAGCTCTACAGAGTGGCTGAAAAGACTGGGGTCCTGACGAAGGCACACAGGGCTGACAGTACCCGCGTTCACGGCTGAGGACTCGGAGGACCTCGGCAACTCGGGCGAGGTCGTACCTCAGACAGATTGAGGCCTGGAAGAGAATCCCCAAGTTTCCATCGAGCCAGCTTGGGCTAGTGCTATATCAGCACTTGTGTGGCAAAGCGTGGATTCGTCCCGAGGGTCTGAGCTACTCCACCTCGTGGGTGTCAGCGAGGTTCTTGGACTTGGAGGTGGCGAGGAGCGGCCGAGCGTTTTCGGGCTTCTTTCGAAAACTCCGTCGTCGTCCACGCCAAATGGTGAGGGAGTATAACACTGAGTACGACAGGCTTCATGGACGTCTCCGAGAAGTTGGCTGCTCGCTGCTCGCTTCCCGAAGAGTGTGTGGCATGGCTTTATCTGGATAGGTTGCAAGTGGAGGAATCGCAGGACCTGTTTTTTTTGGCGATGTGTGGGCAACCGCTACAGCCTGCGCTACTTGCAGCGTGCAGCATTACTCCACGACCGCGGCCAGAGGAAGCCATGGGCCATGGGAGGCCAACGGGACACGAGGCAAGTGGCAAACGAGGAGGAAGGGATCCGCGAGGAAGTGGCAGAGGCGTGCATGACTTATCAGTCGGCAAAGGAGCGTGACCGAGCGCAACAGCGCTCCCGAGGAACTGTTGAAGGCGACCGCGGAAGCAAAGGAGACGGCCGAGACGGCGACCAACGCGGCAGAGGAGCCAAGGTTTATGAACGCGAGGCCAAGTTGAAGGCGATGAAAGCTCGCAGCTTCTGCGGAGGATGCGGTCGCAGGGGCCACTGGCATTGCGCTGACGCCTGTCAACAAAGCCGCGGTGGCGAAGACCGAAGCGGTGTCCAAGGAGATGGCGATGACGACGGTGCTCCTGGCGGATGTGTTCGCGCTGAAGCATGTTGCCAGCAGCCTGCTGGGAGTGGCGGACGCGGCTTGCGCCCGGACGGTGGCCGGGTCCCAGTGGTTGCAGTCCTGCGCGAACCTGCTTGCGGAGATGGGCCACAAGCCGGTCATGCAGAAGGAGTGCGAGGGCTACAGGTTCGTGGCCAGCAAAGTCTACTACTCCTCCTTCTACGTGATCGTGAACTTCAAGCTCGGGGACTACAACATCCAGGTCAGGACCTCGGTGATCACCGGGGACATTCCCCTCTTGCTGAGCAACACAGTTCTTGGAAAGCTGGGGATGGTTTATGATGTTCAGCATGGCAAGGCCGACTTCAAGGCCATCCACTTCAAGGATTACGAGCTGACCACGACGCAGTCAGGCCATCCGGCTATCCCCGTCGTTCCCGTCTATACTTGACTCCTGGTGAAATGCCAGATCTACAGATCGAGGACTTGCGACTACAGCCCGCGAAGCAATACGTGTCCATGTTTGCCCCGAAGTACTCCGGAATCTTCTACGACAAGAAACTTGACCCGAGCGCCCCCGAGACATGTTGAGTCAGGATCGTTTGCAGCTTGCTGTGTTTGCAGCTTGGTGGGAGAAGTCAGTCTTGATCGTGATTTTGGGGCTGAGACAGCATCTACATGGGTGGGTGAGGGTGCATATGGTTCCGAGAAAGGCGATGTCCACAATGCAGAGGGAGATGCTGCTCAACACTATTGGAAAGACGCATGTTACCGAAGGGGTGTGCTGTCGGTCTGGGAGATGGGTAGAATCTACAGAAGATCAATGGGAGCCTTCTTGGACGGTGCCGGAGCTCAATGCGGTGCTCAGGGAGTGCTACGAGACCCACGAGGAGAGGGGCGTCGGCGACAAGATGAAGGGCTTGGGCTCCTTGAACCTCCCCGAGCTGATCGAGCCCGCGAAGGCCACGGGTGTGGAAGTACCACAATAGGTCACGAAAAAGAACCTCATCCGTCTGATGAGGACCTTGGGGGGGGGGGGGGGGGGGCGCTGTGATGACCACCGGAAGGCCTCTGAACTACCAGATCTGGGCAATCAACGAGGTCAAGACGTCGGGGAATGGTTCAGTGGAGCCGGCATTGTTCGCGAGGTGGGCGGAGCAACAGAGGTTGATGCCGACCAACACCGCCCGATCCCGGACGATGCGAGCTCAAGGAGCCGGCGACGAGCCCAAGGGCAACTCGAAGGGNNCGGGACCATCGGCAAAGGGAACGTGAAGCCCAGCCCCAAGCGCCGCACCAACAAGGAGACCGACGAGACTGCCGGCGACAAGATGGAGTCGGAGACGGACCCCGCCGTCCTCGAGGAGATCCACAAGCTCGAGACGAAGCTGGCCGTGCTCAAGGACAAGGCACGGAGCTCGAAGCGAGCGCTGTCGCCGCCGATGGTGTCTGTGGGACGACTGCTGGAGGCGGACGACCCCGAAGGGTTCTTGGATGTTGCGAGGGAAGACATCATCACGGAGGCCGAGCTCGCTGTTGCGAGGCAGGACCGTGTTCTGTAGTGCCCCCCTGTCTTCTAGGTTTATATTCAGGGTTTAGATCCTCATCCGTAGCGGTTCGGGTACCTGGGTGCTGATCCTTTCGCTTTCTGGGCAGGAACTGCCGCGGAGTGGGATAGAGCTTATTAGGGTGCAGGGTATCGTCGTTTGCGAGTTTAGGACCTACAAATTTATTAGCACGCTGCATGCTTGTTTAAAAGGTGTAGACAGCATCTTTGGACGGCCTCCTTTGCCTGCCCGTGGGGGACCGGTTTTCGGCCCCGTATTTCGCGAGCATAAAAGCCTCCTTCCACCCCGCTGTTGCGCTGGTCGTCTGCACCCATAGTCGAGTCCCTTGTGAAAAAATGGCTCGGGCTGCCTTCTTCAACCAAGCCGCCGATTTCATTCGACGCGCCATTTCTTCGCCTCCCTCTCTCTCCCTCTCTCCGTCGCTCTATCTTTTTCACCCCGTCTCTGCCCCTTGTACCTCACTTGTTTTGTATCCTCTTTCTGCCATCCGTTCTCGTTCTGTTGCCTGTGTTTGGCAAACAGGATCTAAGAGAAAAATGGAAGAATGGGCTTGAGCTGCACTAAAATGACCCCTGAGGACGAGTCACGCAAACATGCACAAATGCACAGGGCAAGGTAAAGAAACGGCACCAAACCGCATCACTTTGTTGCAACAGCTGCTTTGCGCAGGAGCGGTCTGAGGAGGAGAAACGGGAACAGCCCCGAATAAGTCTGCTCGAGACCACGACTCCACGCCCCATGTTTCGCTTTCGTGACATGCTGCACAAGCTGAGTGCTTGGATGGCATCCACGTGTGCAGCCCATCCCATCCCAAGGCACCCATCAGCTTCCGAAAGTTGTGTGAGTATTGATTGATTTGTGCTTACAAGAACCACAGCCGGTAAAGACGGACACATGGGCACGGCCCACATTTAAGTCGTTTGGCACACATTTGTCACTTCGCTACAAAAACGGGTGCCAGACACTGATGGCACACACACACAATCCCCCACATGTCGCGACATGCATCCTCCATATTGGGCCACAGATCTATGTGAAGACCGAGTGGAGATGTATGAAAAATTCGGATTGAGCTAGGCTGGATTCTGCGGCTGGCATATGGATCGCATGCAGCTTTGCACTTGCACTCGGACCCTCAAATCACCATGTGTACCGTCCCTGACCCAACCAGGAGATGGGCAAAGAGGCTGCTAAGATGTTGGGAAGGCCTGGTGCATGAGCCTCACAGCCGGAGATCAATGTACCTTCACGGGTGGTAGTTCGAGGGTCACAGCACTAACAGATCATGGGAGCCATGGTTTCAACAGGTGACTGATGGTACCAAACTGCAACACCATTTTAGCTCGAGCTATGGATACGGTAGTTGACATGTCGAGGCCTTGCAATCATGTGTTGCTGGAGCTGTGTGTGTTAGTCTCAGAGGTGAGGCGGCACTGAACAGTTAATCACATCGTCGCTCGGACCGAGTTTGCACTGAGGTCACGAATGCGGACAAGGGAGTTATCGATGTGGAGTCGATGCACAGGCGCATTGAGAAGGCAATCAGGCGCATGCTGGAACCTGTGCTTGCTTGTTCTTCAAACAACGAGAACGTCAGGCGGTGCACAGAGGCAACCAAGTGCTCGCGAGCGGCGCCATGTTGTTCCAGCAGAAGGCAGAGATGATCCTGCCTAAGCAACGCTTTGTTTAGCGTGCATTCCATTTTGAAACGATGCGCGAGTCGTCCCATGGGTCTCCTGATGGCTTCGGCCGAGGTTTCCGGGAAGCATCTTTGTAGTTGGCTTCGACACCTACAGGCAAGCAGAGTTGAGCCCCAAGGCTGACAGCAGTTCATCGCAGTTTCTGTGTCCATTTCGTGATCCGGTAGTTGATCTGAGAACATCCTCCCATATCATGTGGTGCTGGTCTTCAACGCTTCCACTTTGAAGGTCATGTAAGACCTGATTCCTGGTTTTGTACTGGAACTGAAGAAACTCGTCCACGTCATGGAGTGTGCAATTCCCTAGCAAAATCCTCAGACGTGCGAAGTCCCTCTGGCGCCGAAGAAACCATTCACTATGGACCATAGGACCATAGGTTAGAAGGAAATAATCTGCTGGCGCCTATGGGCCTGGCAGCAGCAATGGTTGCCCCGGTTCCCCAGTCGCACCCTTGGGACCTGTTCTATCACTGGTTCGGAGGCGATAGTGGCGCATGTAGGCCCCCGAACAGATCCATACAGCTAAGCGACTGAGAGTGTTGCAAAACTGCCATGCTCGATCTGCTTCCTGGAGACGCAGTCCTATGTCCAACATCGGCAGCAAGGGGGACTCGTATTCTGCTCCCACCGGCCTCGTAGCGCGGAACCTTTTGACCACAAAGCGCATTGTGCCAGAACCATCAGCTCCATCACCACTTCCTTCGGTCCACGATGTGCTTCTTGGTTTCCTGGTCCCACTTCATCCCGAAGACCCTGGTAGCGTCCTCGTTGATCCACTCACCTCAGCTTGATTGGTGCGGCTTTCTTGTCCGGCGCTGCCACCATTTGCTGGAACCTTGCCGCCACCGAGTCTGGTACAGCGTGGTTGTCATGTTGCCCTGCACACCGGTCCTGGCAGTGTCCAGCCAAAGGATGCCCATCTGGTTGTCGTGGCGGAGGCTCAAAGCTGTGAGAATGTCCACTCGGGCTCGCAACTGTTGCAAGCTCTTTGTTCGAGCTGTCCGATCTGGGTCCTCTTTGGGTTGACCATGATCCCATCAAGTGCCGCATGGACGACCCGGCTGGCGCGGATTCCGGCCTTTTCCTCGTCCTCGTCCTCTGTTGCCCGCTTTTGATACTTCATCGGCCGGTCGGTGTCCTCCTGCTTCATGCTGGGCCGAGTTCCGCTGGGCAAGACAGAGGCAAGACTCAGAGCGCCTGGAGGAGCTGGGGAGCTGTTGCAGTCGCCAGACTTTCCCTGTGCTGTTCCGCCTGTCGGTTTTCTCGAGGAGCGGCATGATGCTGGTCAAAGGCAAGCAGACCCTCGTACACGTCGTGTGTCGAGGTATGCCCCGCTAACACTGCCGCACATGATCTCAAACGTCCATCTCGCCTTTGAAACGCCCCCCTGCAATAGCGGGACAGACAGGAGATCCCCAAGTTGCTCTGCGTTGCTCTGCATGACATATCGTACACACTTGTCAAGAAGGTTGCTCACCTCTGGGTGCTTTGCGAGCTGTTTGCGAGCATGTGACATCCGACACAGTGTGGGCATTGTGCCCAGTGGTGGCATTTAGCGCACACATACATACATACATACATACATACATACATACATAGTACATAGGTACAGGCATGCATGCCCACATCACATGCACGCGTGCTGGCTTCCAGGCTTAGGTGAGTGCATGCTCAGATCCATGCTTGCATACCTGCATGCCTGCATACGTTCATGCATGCGCACATACGTACATACATGCATACACAATCACACACACATGTATACACAAAGCATTTGTACACATATGCATAGAATGGCATAGATACTTGCATAGAGGCATAGACGTATGTAGACGCATACACAAATGATAGTGGAAGCGTGCGAAAGAGCGTGCAGTCCAAGATCGCCAAGCTTACCCCATGATGGTATTCCATTCGAGGACCACAGAGCATTTCTTTTTTGGAAATTCCGAAACACCTTATCACGGTGGTGAGGTACCGATGCGTGGCCTTGCCTTCAGAGCCTTCGGCTTCGGGTGGTTTGAGTCCAAAATGCGAGCGGCGAAAAGATGCAAGGACATGCACGACAAAATGCACCGGGCATTGTGGTAGAGCGCGGCTGGCGCGAAAGCTTTGGGATTGATGCCTATGTACCACACAGAGCGAGATCCGCAGATATCCGTGGTCCCGCGACATCAGCAATTAACCAACTCTTTTCTCCTGAGAGGTCCTGCTGATTATTGGGAGGTATGTGAGGCATTGACAATTGGGGTCATTCGGCCCTGTGGGATGGTTTTGTGTCGAGTGTGTAACGAGGTCGAACTTTCGGTGGTAGTCACCGGAATTGAAAGGCGCATACTCGATGCGAAGTACTACGCTCCAGCAGGCCGGGAACATCGGCAACCCAATCGTTTGGCAGTCTTTAGTGTTGATGTTGGGCCGAGGCTGCTTCGATGGAAGCTCTCCGGTCCAGCAACGCCCTGACTGTTGTAGATCTATGAGAGTGTTTAGTCAATCAGTTCAAGAAGTTGTTGTTTACAATGCTGCCTCGCATCCGAAGACTGTTGGCCGAGCCTCCGTATAATGTCCACAAAATGCGTCTTTGTCGAAGGCGACAAGTGCCCTCCACCGCGCCAGATGGATGACTGGGGGATGCAAGTGCGCTATATACTTCTCAGGTTCTTACTGCTAGAAACTTCGATGAGCACGATGAACTTGCCCACTCGACATGTCTAGACATCACTGCAAGTCGTCCGGTCAAGGCAACGAGAATGGACTTTGAATGCGTTGCGGCACCTGCACAGTCCATGCCCAGGACGACCAGTGTAAACACGCCATCCTTCACATTTCATCAGCCTGAACTCATTGATTGCTTCGACGTATCAAGGCTGTGGAGTGCAGTTCGTGGTTGCTGGTCGCCTGGATCTCGAGCGCGGCATTTTACGATCTTGCTCGTGATAAACAATTCCGAGCCGAGGCATGGACAGTGGCGACTTCAAGACGATTGTCACGCATCCGATCCTGGACCTGCCGCAGGACGGTGCCAAAGCCAGAGTCGGCTGTTACTGCAATGGGTTCCTGGAACTTGAACACGAAGCTACGCCAGTGTTTCGTCATGAGCTGCCAGTGAAGCGTGCATGCCGGCTGCAGTGCAAAATAATCTGCAGAGGCGCGGCGGCCATGGGTAAGCATCCGAACATCGAAAGCGCAAATGAACGACTTTCAACGGGCATGCCTCTGCAAAATGTGCGACAGACTTTCGCATTGTCATCGTCTCTTGGCGTGCCATCCCAGACCAGCGAACGTATTGGACGGCTTGGCTCGCTCGCAACTCTGCATGGCAGCAAACGCACCGATGTGTAAGATTGTCCAAGCATCTCCCCCCGACAGGGTTGATGACCCAGCATAGCGCAGTATCGATACTGTGCACCACGCAAAACAAAGGCAGAGCCGACCTTCTTCCTCACAGGAAAATGGTTGCCATCACCATAGTTGCCTTCTATCATGCGTCTTCTCTGACTGTGCGAAGCCTCTCGGGGAGCTGACGGTTCATTCCGCAGCATTGTCCTGGCCTGGGGGTGCGTCATCGTTGAGTTTCCTTCCATTGTTGCTTGGGTCGGTTTGGAAGCGCACATCGCAAGTAGCTGCTTGAGCCCGGCTGCTTCCGACCGCTACGTCTGCGCAAGTAATGTGTGGCCAGTGAAAGACCCATATGATGGCGCTGTTTGCGCCCAACACGTCACTTGTTGGATCTTGTTGACAAGCGCAGCTGTAGTCACAGTACCGCCGTGAAATTAGGGTCCCTTTTCAGGTCCCCCATAGAGTATGGCAAACCCTAGACACTAGACTTTGTAGCAGCAGACACTAGTCGGACACAAGAGACCTCGTCTGGCGGAGTCCGAGTTGCGAGAGCATAAGCCGAACTTTTGGCTGGGATTTTGAAGATAAGAGGCAACTTCCGGACACTTAAAAAGCTCATGGGGCTTCGTAGCTAGGGTTTAGGGGACCCCTGTCAGGGGACCGGAGGTTTCTTTGGTAGGCTTCCTGAAAGGGTCCTATAGGGAAGGGAGGACATGTTTGTTATAGCGCAGATCAAAGCGCCGTGCAGAGGTTTTTGAGTGCGATGGACAGAGAATAAATCCAGCATGTTGTCCTCCAGGCAAGAAGCAGTCTTCATGCCGGCTGCATGTCAAGAGTGCGTGAGTCGCAGCCGTTCTTGCAAGGACTTGGCTAGCATGTTTCGAGAGTTACCAGATTTCCGCCCGAGCCCAAGTTAGCTGTTTTCTGCAGCTTGCAGCTCACAGTTCAGTCCCAAACGAGTCGGAGGCAATGACATCTCATCCACAGCGCTGAGACAAAGATCGCTGGACACCGCTCCAGTGCTCTAGTCGCAGTGTCCTTAATGGAAGGCCGAAACCACGGAATCCCCAGTCGAAGACACGCATGCGCGAGGCGGCTACATCGTCCCCATGCTGCAGTGAGATGGACAGTCGAGCAATGGTGCAATCTGGCGAAGGCTGCCTCAGCTGTTTATTTACTACTCGACACACGGATGTGTTGGAGTCTGCTTTTGTTGTTTCGTGTGCTGCTTCGTGTGTGCGGCTTTTCAAGTGGCCGGCTGGTCAAGCAGTGAGATTGAGCACTCTTGCTGATGCCTTCCACAGGGTTCGTCCGGCTCCACGGCTCAAGGTGGCTGCGGGCGGCAGCAGCAAGTTAGATTGAGAAGGTTTCCGAAGTTTTTGCAACGCTGATGCAATGTCCCTGGGCCAAGCGGTGGTCTTTGCAGATCATGTGGAAGCGCGGCAGATGGGCGAACACACTAGAGAGTTGCGCTTCCCAGAGACACTGTCCGTGCAGTGCGTAAAAGTCATCGGTCGAAGCGAGAAGGTACAAGTGCAAAGCTCTGCGGGTTCGTCCAATTTTGAGGGACGGACGTATCCAGACATTCGCATGATCGGTCTGGCGGTGTATGCGACGGATCTTCTGTCCCCCAACTCTACCATGTCAGCTTTCAAGGCAAGTTCGCCGGGAGTTTTCAATATGCCAAACAGTCAGCTGCTTACAAACAGCATCGTCGTCCGGGGAAAGTTCATCAAGCTGTCCATCGTAGTTTACGGTGAAGTTCTGCCCACTGCCGACAGCCAGTCTCTGCCAGCGCTCCCAAGCATAGCCCAATATCTCCGACCTGATTCAAGCTTTGAAGGGGACAAGCTCGACATGGCAGGTCTAGAAGACATGAGGAGTAGTGCGCTCAAGAGCATAGATGCAGAGCTGGATGCGGAAGGCGAGAATGGGAAGCTGTCCGATGCAACAGCCCCACCGAGCTTCGGGAGAGCATTAGGACTCGGCGGACTCGGTGCCGTGCGTGAGGCCGACGCCAGACTGGCGGATCATGTTTCCTGGCTTCCGGCAGTGTTCCAGGAAAGCGATGCTATGGAAGGTGACCAGATTGTCTCCCGCTTGGAAGCTTTGTCGCATGATGTAGTTTTGCTTGCGCAGAGGGCGCCCGAGAATGCAGCTCACATACACCATGGTCCTGCTCTATGCCGCTCTTTGCTCTCGCTGGTGTCTCGGTGCATGGAGAGATGGGAGCTTAGACCTCTACGAGCGACTCTTCAAGCACTTGCAACCTGTCTCGTTTCGGCGACTGCAGCTGCTGAGATATTGGGAAGGAAGGGTGACCTCGATATTCTTGTCCAGATCTTGAAAGATGGAGAGTGGAGTCAACAGAATCTCAAGCTAGCGGCGCTCCAAGTGCTGTTGCAGCTGTGTTCGCATGCCGCTGGTATGGAGGCTTTTCTCGGGTGGTCGGACACGGTGTCCGGCCAAACTACAGCATACGAGGTTGTGCTTTCGTTGGTTCTCGATGGGACTTCCGGACAGCCAAGGCTGCAGCATGTTGCTGCAACTTTGCTGAGAAGGGCTGCCTTCTATGAAGCCCTGACAAGGCTTGATGAGAGTTGCTCCAAGCTTGAGGCTGTCGACGGTAACGAAACTCCACAAGACAGATTGCACAAGGCAGCTGCAGCAGCACTGCGTGATATCACGGTGCACCTCGAAGACTTGAGCCAGCCAACCAATGTGCAAGATCCTGAGCCTGGCAGCTCTTGGCCTTTTGATGATATACCTGGCAGCCAGCTCGTGGATGATTCGGCTTCCAAGCTTCCAGGTGTAATCTTTGGAGGCTGTGGAACAGGAATACTGGCAAGTGATCCGTTTGCACAAGGCCAATGCCATTTGTACGGGTTCCTGGAGTCATTCATGACAGGACGACGTCTATTGCCTGGGCTTTCTGTTTTGCTCCGTCGCCTTGCCCGTGTTCACCCATATGACCGCTTGTTGCTCTTCCGACCAATCCAGCGACTGATGTGCCTGCTGCTCTCTTGTTCGGGTGGTCCACAGTTCCTGGCTGCCGACAATGCTACGTACACTACCTTGCGCTCTGGCTGCAACAGGGCACCTGATTTGGGTACACGGTACATTGTGAACTGAGGACCGCTAGCTAGAACCTGCAAAAATTTTGCCCAGTTCAGCAGCTTGCGAGGCTGAATCTTCTTGAGTGTGGGGTGGCGCACAAGAAGTTGCCAGCAGTGCCGCGCTTTCCTGCAGCTCTTGTCAAAGACTTGGCCGCGCCGCACTTGGGCACCCTGGCTGCCACTCACGTACGCGCTCTGCGACTTTCGCTTCTTCTGGTGGCTGCCACGAGGTGGGGAACACGGCCAAGAGATTGCTTCTGTCTTTTGACAATGTGTTTGTTGGATTGTTTTTCAAATTCATAGCCTTGAGACGCACGAGGTCCAAGGGCCGTGGCGGCCTTTTGCCAGAAGAGCATGCTTGCCCAGGGCTGGCTGCTTTGCATCGGCTTTGTGTCAGAGGTTCTGCAGGTCGCTGTGCAGTCGTACAGGCATTTCGATCGGTATTCTTCGCTGAGTGGCTTCTGCGACAAATCGAGGGACGTCTGGATGAAGCCACTCCAAGTGGAAGCCGGGCATCTCAGGTTCAACCTTCACTTCGCCATCTCGTCGCGATTCTCCACGCCTTGGTCTTATCTGACCCCTCCGGTGCTGCTGCAGAACGATTTGGAGCCAGAGTGCTGGCCTTGGTGTTGCGGGCTGTCAGGGTTTTGGAGCCAGAGGCAGACGAGTCAGCAGACCCCAGTGCTCTGCTGGAATTCGCATTGGACAGTGAAGGTGCCGAGGGTGGGCTTGGCAAGGCTGTCCGCTTTGGCCGACGCAGTGCCGACTTCGAGTTCTTGAAGAATCTCAAGGAGTTGGCCGCTCAACTGCGCCCATGGCGACAGGAAGACTCCGATGCCAACGCACAGACTTCGGTGACCAGTGCCAAGCTCATGGCAAGCCTGGTTCTCAATAGAGGTCCTCGTTCATTGAAGCGCTCGACCAACGAAGAGCGTGGAAGCAGGCGACTAGCTCTGGTCTTGGGAGGACATTCTGCGGCGAGTGGTGTCGACGTGCCAGAGGTTGACTTCAATGCTGGAGAAGAGCATGCCGACCTCGACGACCACTTGGAGCGCTATCCCAGTGAGGACCTTACGGAGCTCCCGCTGCTTGCAATGCGTGTACTTTGCCGCAGGGCAGCCAGTCCGAAAGAGGCGCTTGCTATTGTTGAAGCCGACGGCGGCAGAGATGGATTGGCTCAATTGGTTCCTTGGCTGATTCGATGTGCTGGAGCCTTCAGCCTGAACTTAGAGGCCAGTATCCTTCGAGAAGAAAAGAAGGCCATAGCTCTCATCTACGCGACACGCCGCTCACATGCTCAATTGTTAGAGGCAGCGCTGCAGACCTGTGCACACCTCCTTGGCGGGCTTAGGGATGCCGGCTTGTCTCATTACAGACACACCGAGTTGTGCCAAACACTGCTTCTGCTATCGCAGCGGCTGACATCTGGATTGTTTGGACTGGCGCCTCGTGGCGGCTTCAACAGTGATCCAGAGTTCAGGCTGTTATGGCGACACTGCATCGTGTGGGTCTGTCGTGTATTCCGGCTTTGGTTTCAGAGCTTCCCTGACGCAGCTGGCGGGCAGCTTCTGCTTCCTTTGCTCCGGCACGCTCGTGTTCTGCCGACGAATTTTGCGGGAGGCATGTTGCTTCTGGCGACGTGTGGGAGCCTGAAGCCAGTACTTCCCAGAACATCGCATCAGTTCAACCTCCTCTTTTCCAGCTCTCAGCCCGGGCCTGGGGACAGCTTGCAGTCCCAGTTCGTGCTGATGCCGACTGGAACTCGCACGGGAAATGCAGGCATGGTGACCTTGCGGCCTGTGTCCCCGAGTCAGATAGCCGGCCGTGAGGCATGCGGTCAGTTTTGGAGTAGAACTTCCGAGGTGCAGGACTGGGAGGATGCTTCTCGCAGCTCTGCAGATCCATTGGTGCGAGCTCTCGCAGCGGACCGGGAGGCAGCGGCAGCTCATGCTTTAGGATTGGTCGAGATGGTGAACCAACGCAGAGAGCGGCTGTCCCTAGACGATGTTGCGGAGCTTCTGGCAATGGCTGCTGAGTGCGCTCTGACGTCGGATGCTTTTCTACATCTTTGTACTGCAAGAGTATTGGAAAAGCTGACTGTCGCTGGACTGCCCATTCTGGTGGTTATTCGAAGACTAGCGGAGGCTGCTCTAAATGGTGTTGTCCTGGAATCAGAAGGCAGTGATGACATCAGTGGCGGTGCAGCTCGTGATCCGCGCGATGCTCGTGCTGTTTCGCGCCTGCTGCTGCTGCTGGCGCATTTCGGATCGCTGGGCCCTGCTGCCAGAATGGCTCTGACAGAGCATCAAATAGAGACGCTTTGCCAGTCAGTCCTCGCGCATTCACCTGCCACCTCTTTGCCTCCAATGGCATTCTCCCAGTCCATCAGGCTGCTGGCCTTGATGTTTGCCTCACCATCATCCCACTCCGTGCCGAAATGCAGAATGGTCGCCAAAGCCGTGAATCTCTTGATTAACAAAGGTCCCGATGAAGGTTCTCCTGCAGGTGTCTCGACTATATGCGCGGCATTGGAGCTTCTTTTAGGCCTCTGCACGCCGCAATGGCTTTGCCTCAGCTTGATTTTCAGCGCTGGGGATGCATGTGATGGAGAGGTGCGGGTGAGTATAAGCAGTGCCTTCAAGCTGGGACATTGTGCACACAGGATTGCCATGGAACTCCAGGTCTGTTGCCAGCATTGCCGCTCAGCAGAGAGAGGGTCCGAAGAGGAGGTCGCAGCTCTTGAGGAATTCGCCAGCTGGCTCCGAGCTGCAGATTCCCTTATCTCACTGTCGCGTGTGGTTATTGGCCACTGTCCCTCTGCAACCGTCTTCCTTCAGGTTGTTGCTGGGGCTAGTTCGACGCAGAGCTTGCTCGAAGAGCTCTTGCTCGCTCTGCAGCATGCGCCGAATAGTCCCGACATCCACGAGCAGGTTGGTAGCAGCATGAAAGCCGTCCAGCACCTGCGGGAGGAGGCATCTGCAAAGTCACTAGATCCGCTCCCCTCAGTGCTCCCTGCTCGATTGTTCGAGCAGCCTGCAAGGGCAGGACGGAGCTCAAATTCAGCACAAGAAACCACAGCAGAAGCTTCCCTGAACGGCACTTCCAATGCAACAAGGAAAGACTACCCAGATGAAAATGCACATGCAATGGCAGACGTGGTTGGCTTGCTCGACGCAGCAGCTGATCTTGATGCCAGTGCAGAATGGGCTTCCGTCGTTGAGCTTGACTCCGCGGAACCTCCCGGGGATGACGCGAAAATGGACTGGGAGTTTGATGCTGCAGCCTTGAAGCGGAAGCGGCAGGACTTCCTCGAGAAGTTCGAGTCTGACCGGAAGGCAAAGCGTCTGAAACAGCAGCAAGAGAAGCTACAGGAAAAGCAGTGGCTCGAGCGTGCAGAAGAGCGCTCTTCGGCTCCAGGTGCCACTGGTCGCTCCGACCCCGATCCATCCGATGCACGGGAGGAGACTCGGGTTGCAGAGGGAGCTTCTGCTCCTGAAGGACGTCAAGGCGAGGATGAAGCCGTGAATCCGGCAGAGGCTTTGCAATCTTTCTTGAAGGATCACCCCGAGTTTATGCGGGTCTTGCAAAACCCGAAAAAATGCCTGGCTGATCCCCGCGTGAAGACTATGTTTGTGACCGAGCTGCAAAACTATCCGGCTGTGAAGTCCTTTCTCGCTGCGAGGGGGCTCCAGTTGTCGTGACGATGGACCGAAAGCGTATGAAAATAGTTTTGCACAGCAGCCGAAGCAGAGGCCTTGAGGTGTCTTAGGATATCGTCCTGCATGGCCATGGTCCTGCCAGGCATGAGAGCTCAGCCTCAGACGGCTTGATGTCTCGAGGTGAGAAAACGCGGGACATGTTGAGCCCTACGGCCTACTGTAGACAGTGGACCTCTGGATTCAGGACATCCGCCCAATGGATGAGTCCACGCTTTTCACGATTGGTGCAAGGCAAAAGCCGCAAGCTGATAGTTCTGGAAGAGCTGTGTAACTTGTGCTTGCGAGTGAAGCTAGCTCTGTCAACAAGAAGGGACATCTTGCCCTTGCGCTCGATCGCGTTTGCTCTTCTTCTCAAAGCATCGAGTCGAGAATCTAACCTGCACTGCGAGCAGGCTTCTACACTTAGCCTCTGGAGATCTTGCGGCAAATCTAGACTCTAGACATGAAAGCTTCTACGCAGGAGTCATGCTCGCACGAAAAGTTTTTCCAATTGCACAACGAGATCCAGCCAGCGCCGCTGATGTAGACTGGATCCGAGGGAGCTCACGAACAGGCGGAAACTGCAGCCTGCAGACGTACGTGAACGTCAGGTTCAGTCGAGTCTAGCTGGTGTCAGTCCGGCAGGTCAGCATGTGCAGCTTTCTGGTGACATCTTGGCTTCTATCGAATCTTACGGACCCGAGCCTTAGGTAACGTACAACCTTGTCAATCGGGGGAGCTGTTGAAGTTGCCTGTAAGGTGGTGAACTATTTCTTACTTCCTAGAGGACCGGACGGCTGGGGCCACAGCGCTGTGATGCAGGTCGCAAGGTCATGTGAGATTTCTCCGGCCTTCTGCAGGCAAGTGAAGCCTGGTGCCAAGGAACACAGACTCTCCGAAAGGGTCCATTTGTGTTCGTGCACAATCTCCTTCACATGTCACACCCTCAGATGGGAACGTGTTCAGCATCGTGCTTTCGATTGTTTTGTGATTTCGCAAGGACGGGCGAACGCGTGTGGCAGCCGTTCGAGAAGGGGAAGGAACGGAAGATCAGAGAGATGTCGCTCTGTGGCCAGTTCGTCCTCTGTCTGCTTGGTGCTTAAAACTAACCCCAGGTGGTAGCTGTATATAACGGCGAGATCTACAACGCACGGCAGGCATTCAGATGCGACGCTCAAGGAAGCTTAGATGTGCTTCGGCATGCCAGTCATGCAGATCCTGCCAGGTTCCGCAGGGTTTTGAGGATCGACATCTGTATCGGTCAGACGGCGAGTCAGCTCCCAAGACTCCACTACGCAGGCATTTCAAAACGCTGAATCCAGCACACCCACCTGAGCCAGACAGGTGCTTGCTACCAGCATATTTGCATCTGGGACCTCGTTTTCCTCAAACCTTGGATGGCGTGTGAGTCTCAGGAAAAGAGTGAGTTTGTGTTTGGAGCGCGACAGTATAGAACAGGTTCAACGAACAGATGGCCTTTGCACCAGATGTTGCAAACTCCAGCTCAGGAGTTTGCTCTTGTGGTTGTGGATCTGGACAGCCAAGCCCTCGACTCAGTGGCGGAGATGAAAGCACGAGTGTGCTCGTGTTTTCTCCTTCAGGATGTGGGCTTTCCCAGTCTCCGTAATCTGCAATTTGGCTTTGAACCGGCAAAGGCTCTACAGGTGCTTGTTTTCAAGCGTCAAGCACGAAGACCGCAAACGTTCCAACAAGGGACCACGCCTGCCTCGCTGCGCAACAGCTCTTTTGGCCATGGGCGGTCACTCGGCAGCTGCGTTCCAAGAACAGTGTCCATCATGAAGATCCCTAGACGCATGAAGATCTTCTTCTCAGTCTCAGTATCACCAATACCATCATGTGACGGATGGGTGCTGTGCAGACGCTGCCGTTTAGCGCTGCTGCGGGCCAGCTCTTTCGAAATGAGCCGACCAATGCTGTTTGCACGAGGGCGGTTGAGATGCCCCGGGGGCGAAAAAGCTTCCTATTGCTCTCAGCTCGGAAGCTCTGCTCCGTTCGCATATGAGAAGAGGGAAGGCTTTGCCTAAAGTCTTCGGGCACTTTCTCTTGGCTTTCGATCGGCCACACCATCTCACGGTGTTTTGCATGTAGTCCATACAACCAGGCTGTCAGCTTCGATGCCCCTGCATTGTCTAAGAAATATGCCTTCCTCATTCCTGAAATGCCGGATCATGCCCACATCTGAGTAACTAGTACGTATGGTCCGCTGAGCAGCCCAAGGTGTTTGATACTGTATTGTGTTTTCTGTTGCGGAAACCAGTGTTTAACTACAAAGCTGTGTGTTGTTGTGGTCGTCGTCGTCGTCGTGGTCGTCGTCGTCGTTATTTGTGTTTTTGTTTAGGTCGTTTCTTGTTTTGTGTCGTTGCTGGTTGCTTGCTGCTGCTTGTCGCTGCTTGTTGTCACTCGCCTTTATTTGTGATGTTTATTGTCGTTGCTTTTCGTTGTTTGTTGTTGTCGTTGTTGTCGTTGTTGTCGTCGTCGTTGTCGTTGTCGCTGTCGCTGTCATTGTCGTTGTCGTTGTCGTTGTTGCTGTTGTGTTATACAAGGTGCTGCCATGCAATTTCTTTGTACATCATCGTTACTATTGCGTCAGCTTATCTCCGCTTCACATGAGTGCAGGTTTGGCAATACGCCCGCCACGCGCAGAGCACGCTCGCACAGCGTTCATTTGCAAAGACTGTTATTGTTGTTGTTGTTGTTGTCGTTGTTGTTGTTGTTGTTGTTGTTGTTGTTGTTGTGGTTGGTTGTTGTTGTTGTTGTTGGCCGCACGTACGTGCCCCTGCGCCCCCCGGCTTCTCTCGCCTGGCTAGAACTTTCAAGTAGACAATTCCTCAGAGAACCCTTAGTGACCGTAGTTTAGCTGTCAGGGTGCAACCACAACAACAACAAAGACCCCACTTGCAGTGGGGCAGTCCGTTGCAGAAAAGCCTCATTTCAACAGAGTGATGAAATAATAGGAGACCCAAGGAGTGGCACGCCGGCGCACGCACCCAGCCTATGTCGATAACTATAGAGACGGGTGCAAGATGGGGCAACAGGCTTGCACCTGGCCGTCAGCTCGAAATACGTATATTAACGAAAATAAGGGAAATGGATGGAGAAAGCCATTGAAAACACTCTGAGACCCTGCTGGAAAGCACTTTGCAAGATCTCAAACTCAAGGTGTCTACATGTCTCTGCTTCGACAGTCAAATGTCAAACTATGCAGGCTGATTCCGGTGGTCAAACTCTGCAGGAGCTCAGCAATTGAATGCCCTCCGATCCCTGGTTAAAGGTCAGACATGAGAAACATGTAGGCGTGATGTTGTTGGCTTTGCTGTTGCTGTTGGGGCCCCGGCGAGTGGAAGACTTGCATGTTTATCACGAAAGCTCGCGTAGCAGAGCTTGAGTTTAGTCTTGCTTTGGCAAGGAGGCAGTCCAGGGCCAGAAACCAGCGTATTATTGATAGTATCAATTTAGGGGGGGAGGGGGGGGCGGGGGGCTAAATTGAACGGTTCATACGAAAGCCTGTGTTTTG